GCACATAATCATGGCGCAGATCCTTGACCCTGACACTGTTCCTCTCAAATGGCACCCTGTACAGCTGCTTCATTCTGAAGTTATGTTTCTGTAGGATGTGACTTAGTGTAGAAATGCTGACCCTGTTGATATTGTTGAATTCATTTCCATTTGCAATTATGCGTTGTTGCAACTCACGAAGTCGGATTGCATTATTTTCTCGCACCATTTCAATGATGGCAAGCTCTTGTTGTTGAGTGAAGAGCCGTTCCCTTCCACCTTGAGGAGGTCGTCCAACCATTCTGTAGAAAATTGCCACCACAAGATGTCATTGGTTAGGTTATTTTTCACATACTGTACTTTCAAACTGTACACAGTACTGCAACATCACAATGGTATTCCTTTACATATACAGTACTTCACAGCACTACCCATTTTTGTATAGTATAGTTAGTACAGTAATACTGTAATATGATACAGAATCATGTGACATATACAGTAGGTACAGTCTGGAGTAGAAACTTGAAGATATACCTGTTCTCCAGTCGGAATGTCCTTATTATCGATGCTACCGTGTAGCGACTGAGGTTAGGGTGGACTCTTTGCCCAGCCTCCCTCATGGACAGGCCATGATTTATCACATGGTCCACCAGAGTAGCCCTGATGTCATCTGATATATGTCTCCGCACTGGTCCTCGTCCTCTTCCACATCCGACTCCTCTCTCTCTTTGTCCTCTTACTCTGACCCTCATTGCCTCCAAGCTTACAAAGTTCTAAAAATGGCTTACCTGAGGCCTATTTGTAGTGCTAAGGCTCAGACTGATTGGTGTTCTGTTTTCTGTGCAAGTGTTTTCAGGTGTGTATGTAAGTGCATACAATTGCCAGATGAGTTATGCATTTTGAACAGAGTGTTTTCCCAATGATAAGAGGTGATTTCGTTTTTTGAACAAAGTGTCTAATGTAAGAAAACGTGTGTAGTGTTTCGAAATAAGTGTGTTACAGAATTGCAAACAAAGTGCAAAGTTGACATTGTGTTTAAGCTATGGTTATACTGTGTTTAAGGTATGCTACAAGGAGTTTAGGTATTGAGGCTTTGGTCTAAGCATTCGGTTTTAGTGTGTAAGCAATGGGCAAAAACTGTAAGTGTATGTGGGTGTTAGTGTGAGTGTGTATATCTAATTATAGGTGTGTGGGTGTTAGTGTGAGTGTGTATATCTAATTATAGGTGTGTGGGTGTTAGTGTGAGTGTGTGTATCTAATTATAAGTGTGTGGGTGTTAGTGTGAGTGTGTGTATCTAATTATAAGTGTGTATGTGGTAGTGTGAGTGTGTGTATCTAATTATAAGTGTGTGGGTGTTATTGTGAGTGTGTGTATCTAATTATAAGTGTGTGGGTGTGTTAGTGTGAGTGTGTGTATCTAATTATAAGTGTGTGTGTGGTAGTGTGAGTGTGTGTATCTAATTCTAAGTGTGTGTGTGGTAGTGTGAGTGTGTGTATCTAATTATACGTGTGTGTGTGGTAGTGTGAGTGTGTGTATCTAATTATAAGTGTGTGGGTGGTAGTGTGAGTGTGTGTATCTAATTATAAGTGTGTATGTGGTAGTGTGAGTGTGTGTATCTAATTATAAGTGTGTGGGTGTTATTGTGAGTGTGTGTATCTAATTATAAGTGTGTGGGTGTGTTAGTGTGAGTGTGTGTATCTAATTATAAGTGTGTGGGTGGTAGTGTGAGTGTGTGTATCTAATTCTAAGTGTGTGTGTGGTAGTGTGAGTGTGTGTATCTAATTATAAGTGTGTGTGTGGTAGTGTGAGTGTGTGTATCTAATTATAAGTGTGTGGGTGTTAGTGTGAGTGTGTGTATCTAATTCTAAGTGTGTATGTGGTAGTGTGAGTGTGTGTATCTAATTATAAGTGTGTGGGTGTGTTAGTGTGAGTGTGTGTATCTAATTATAAGTGTGTGTGTGGTAGTGTGAGTGTGTGTATCTAATTTTAAGTGTATGCATGTGTTAGTGTGAGTGTGTGTATCTAATTATAAGTGTGTGGGTGTTAGTGTGAGTGTGTGTATCTAATTAAAAGTGTGTGTGTGGTAGTGTGAGTGTGTGTATCTAATTATAAGTGTGTTTGTGGTAGTGTGAGTGTGTGTATCTAATTATAAGTGTGTGGGTGGTTGTGTGAGTGTGTGTATCTAATTATAAGTGTGTGGGTGTTAGTGTGAGTGTGTGTATCTAATTATAAGTGTGTGTGTGGTAGTGTGAGTGTGTGTATCTAATTATAAGTGTGTGGGTGGTTGTGTGAGTGTGTGTATCTAATTATAAGTGTGTGGGTGTTAGTGTGAGTGTGTGTATCTAATTATAAGTGTGTGTGTGTTAGTGTGAGTGTGTGTATCTAATTATAAGTGTGTGTGTGATAGTGTGAGTGTGTGTATCTAATTATAAGTGTGTGGGTGTTATTGTGAGTGTGTGTATCTAATTATAAGTGTGTGGGTGTGTTAGTGTGAGTGTGTGTATCTAATTATAAGTGTGTGGGTGGTAGTGTGAGTGTGTGTATCTAATTCTAAGTGTGTGTGTGGTAGTGTGAGTGTGTGTATCTAATTCTAAGTGTGTGTGTGGTAGTGTGAGTGTGTGTATCTAATTATAAGTGTGTGGGTGGTAGTGTGAGTGTGTGTATCTAATTCTAAGTGTGTATGTGGTAGTGTGAGTGTGTGTATCTAATTATAAGTGTGTGGGTGTGTTAGTGTGAGTGTGTGTATCTAATTTTAAGTGTATGCATGTGTTAGTGTGAGTGTGTGTATCTAATTATAAGTGTGTGGGTGTTAGTGTGAGTGTGTGTATCTAATTATAAGTGTGTGGGTGGTTGTGTGAGTGTGTGTATCTAATTATAAGTGTGTGGGTGGTTGTGTGAGTGTGTGTATCTAATTATAAGTGTGTGTGTGGTAGTGTGAGTGTGTGTAAGAGTGTCAGTGTGATTGTGATAGGTGGATATACATGTAAACAGGGCTGAAAAGTGACTGGCAGCAGGAATATATAAATACTTATGTCCAATCAAAAACTCATCTTTTGACCAACGGGTAAAATAAGTAATTGTGTAGATAATCCTCTAAGAAAACAAATGGTCCAAACCTCATGCCTCTATCACAATCCGTTCAAAACTTATTGGACTTTTTACGGTTGTAGGATGGTCAAAATTAGGGTGACTAAATCAATGGAGACCAGAGTAAAAAAAAGTGGTAAAGAATCTGAAGAATAGCATGGGGTCAGCTAGACTGGATGCTGTGAGACAATTAAGGCTATCTGGCAGGCTGACTGTTGAACTCAATGTCTTTCTTCTCCAATCTGGAGGATTTAAAACAATATAGAGGTAAGATAGATATACATTTTGAGACAAGACGTGTAGTATTCATTTTTTTGTATACGCTGTTCATATTAATACGAAGTTCCTTTTCTTTTTCGAAGACTTCTCACAAAAAAACAAGAGGATCTCTGTGAAATGTCGACGGAGCACTGAGTGTACCCCAAGCATTTTAATTTCAAAGCCTTTTACATTTAATTCAGCTTGTGACATGCTAATTTTGCAAATTTGCAACCCACGGAAACAACTTAGAAGATGACTACCACAAATGTAAACTCCTCTTAGGTTTCAGCGAGAAAGCTGCACCGCTCTGTCAATAGACCTATTATCGGATGTATTAGGTTATTAAATCCAACTTTTTGTATATAATCGAATGATATGTTAGAGACAGACCCCACTGAACGATTAACATGGAATACTT